GCGTTCTATTTGCTGATCCGACTCAAGCTCCTTAGCTGCTCTAGGAGTTGAGCTTCATCTGTGGCGGGCCAATTAAGATGCCCGCGCTTCATATTTCCAGCCATGACAAGCACCATAGTGGTGTAGTCTTCTCTAGCGAGCGGGCCCTTTGCCGGTTCTGCGAGCGCGGTCCATCTTCTGACGGTGGGATGGTCTGCTTTGGCAAATACTCCCAGAAGTTGTTCGAAGCCCTGAGCAGCTAATGCTTGAAAGCTGCTCTGAATACAATTAAAAAGTAGCTTCTTTTAATTAGCCCCGCTATCAGAAGCATTGTTGGCTCGGTCCTTTTTTTTATGCATTGATTAACAAACAATTTACAATTAATGTTGTTTGTCTAGCTGTTTGTGTTTTGTAATTATTCTAGCGCAATAATATTGCTTAAATGTTGGATGGATCTGCCCAACCACAACGATCATATCAAATGGCAGGTTGGCCAGAATAGCTTGGAGTGAAACAATGTAATTCACGTTGAAGCATCAAGCTTCAAGTTTCATCCGCAAGTTTACCAGGGCAAGCTATATTGAAGCACCTTCAAGCTTGAGTATATAGTTTTATAGTGTTGTAGTATAGGTTATGTACTTGTGTGTTAATACTTTAAGCCTCATATTAATCACACCACGTATTTGTTGAATTTATCAAAATATAGGTGTTTTTTGTAGAAAACATTATTTTATTAGTTTCATTAGGACCTTCAATATCTAGTTTATACATATTTTTATTAAGTCTATAAAATTTAGGTTTATAAAGTTTCAAAAGTTGGCTTTTATGTCCAATGTCAAAAACAAGTGTTTTCATTTATATGTTTTGCCGACTATTTTGTTAAAAATGAAGATATTTCTCAATTTGCGGAGGTTGCTTGTGGAAATTTGCAAGTAAAAAAGACAATGAAAGAAAAAATTGACTTAGTATTCTCTCCAAATCAATTACAATTTGGATTCGATTTTTATAAAAGAGCAGGGAGAATGAATTTGATCTCCCCCTTTGTTTTAAAACTAGTTTCTTCTCTTGGTAGCGATGGTAGTGCCTCCTTTCGCATTGATTGTTGTCGAAACTTGCTCTCCGTTGACGATCCGACCCGCTCTTGATTCACTGAACGTTAGTCTTCTCCTCACGAATTTGACGCGTGTAGAGAACTTGCCAAAGCAAGCTTTGAAAATACTCTTAACGACGTTGATACTCTGAAATGAGTTTAGAAGCAACTTGCCCAGTAGCAAGTTTTGAACTCTGATCGAGTGAATAACTCTGAACACGAGTTTGAACTCTTGAAAAAGAGTTGATTTGAACCGAATACCGTCGGTTATAAGCCAAGCGGAATTGCCCCATCCTGTTGCCAATCTCCCTTTGCCTGCAAGTCTCAGATCCAAATAGCCCTTAACCCTGAATCTCCCTCTGCCTTGATGCAGATAAATCCTGATCAGAAGGCTAGCGAATGATCTCTTCTTTGACTGTCCAAAAAAGAAAGGATCCAAACCGCACCCGAACTCGTTGAGTTTCCCACATATTTTATAGCGCAGATTAAGCGGTTCGCGTAACTCACCCCCTTATATCTGCTTCCTCACATCGGCTGCAGTGGGGTGTAAACCGCCCCCTCTTAACACAACTCCCTAAATCGTGTGGGAAAACGCTTTTGAAACCGTTTCGTTAGTGTTTTGAACGATGTCAAAACGGCCTGAAAACAGGCGTTCTGCG